CTACATCCGTGAACATTTACAGTCCATGGTTTGAGTCTACAGTAGTGCAGTGCAGTGAAAACAGTGAGTAGAGCTAGAGCAGTTGAAAGTGAGCAGACACTTCTGTTTTATTATTAGAGGAATATCTCTGTTCTTACTCAAAACCAATAACAACCCTGAAAACAACACAACAACAATTTGATTTGTACAGACGCCAAGATGTTTTTCTGCAAATGATCGACTAAAACTATGTCAAAGAAGGAGACTCAAAAATAAAATGAAAGCGTAAATGCAATATTTACTTCACACTGAATACAATTTTAATGACCCAATCTTTCTGTTTTTCATGATTCATTTTGATAATTTGATTCGGGCTTTAGCTCTGTACTCATGCCATTTATACCAATCAGAAAGTGCTCCAAGTAAAGTCTTGAAATGATATTTGCCAATGAAACCAGCATGGATACAGGAGATAAGAGAGATAGAGGAAACACGTATTCATCCTACAGTAAGGACATTTTAGATTTGCAATGCACAGAAGTCTACGGAGAAAAGTAAGAAATGTCTTTGCCTAATACCAGATTACAAGTTTCTCTCCTATCGTGGAGAATAGTAGTAGTGGTAATTATTTATGTCAAACTCATGTACACAAAAAAGACAGAACAATAACCAAAACAAAAACTGCGATATTGTTCATATTTTGATAAGGGGTTGGATGAAGCAGAGGCTTAATTGGCTCTGATCGCACTCATTCAACACAAAAGACACGCACACACAAGCAATCACACACAAACAGAAACACATGCACACACGCACAAGCACACACACTCTCAGACTAGAAAGACACTGACCCTACACCTGTCTCTCACCACATAAAACTATAAAAACAGTCAAAAGAATCTCTACTCAGAAACAATACAGAATCCAATCCAATCCGTCCAATTACCAGTGACAGGTTCAACACACGTGGGAGAAAACCAAACTCTCCCTTATCGAGATACATAACAAAAAATTCATAGTTTGAGCCGAGAGAGAGAACGCACGTCTCCTCCTGATCCCTTCGTTTACCTCGGCGTCTAATCAGTCCCCAAACTGCAGCATTTAGAGCCGCTGTATCGAGCCCGGATCTGCCCCTGGTGCCTCGTGGTCCCTCCTAAACTTCCACGCTGCGGAGTGGGAGACGGCGCAACAAAAGACCAATCTGTTAGTCCAATAAAAGGGGCAGTCAGGTGTGTGTCCTGGAGCAGTAAATGAACAGTCTCTCTATCTCTCATCTATCAAGAGCTTTGACACCGGGAGCAGCTGGGAGAGAACCGCAGCACCCGCCCCAACCCTGCAATACTACTTTAGCAATTTGGGATAATTAGGCGCCTATACAATGTCCGCCTGTGATCCCCAGGGGTGGCGCCGCGCTCCTCTGGGTGTGTGCGTGGGGCGTTACTGGCATGTCTGGTAAAAAGGATCAGCTGTGTTAAGCGTCCCGTGACATCTAAACTACTAATTCATTGCTACATTAACGGCAGTAATTAACATGAGGCCATCGGCAGACGCACACGGAGGGATCCCCGGTGAGGGCTGTAAATGACACCTCAAAGGGTGAGTTTTATGGGTGTAGACGAGGACCAGCCGCTGCGTGTAAAGACCGGTTTGTTTGTCATGTGAGATGCAACATTTGGGGTTTGATATGTGTAAACGCTGTGGGAAACATTCAACAATAGAGTTTTTAAAGGGGAGGTATGTAAGATTGACTTTTATGAGTTTTAAGCTTTGTTTCTTTGTCATTATGTAGTAGTAAGAATTGATTTCAACTGTTACGCAAACGAAAACAATATAATCAATAAACTTATTTGGCTCCAACCTCTTACTCGTTCAACACAATCAGCCAAACATAATCACACACACGCAACACAATAACACACGCACACACACACAAGCACAAAAACACAACAAGACACAGGCCACACTAATTCTGTAACTAAAAGTCAAAATAAACCTGATTCTGTTTTGTTTTAGCATGTTGTATTTGAGGCTTCCTTGAGCAGACAGGACCTCACCTTCTACCCATCCCAAAAAATACCCAAAAACTATTTTATCAATTTCTATATTTAATCTGTTTAATAGTCAGCCCTAGTCCCATCATTCACTGGGAAAGTTTGCAGCTGAGTGGGAAGTATGTCTCTTAGCTGGCCTGGGATTACTCTGGATGAGCTGGAGGAAGTGTGCGCGGATGAGGCTAGGCCGGTCGTCCGTGCTTCTGTCAAAAAAGGGAGAAGACATTTTTTTAAATATGAAAATTAAGTAAAATGCATGGATGGATTGATCTATCTATGGTTTAATAGTAAATTACGTAAAAAAAAAAAAACACCATACGTCTCCTTTAAGTTGTGCAACATGTTTGTACTCAAGCTTGAATGAGTCTCAAAGAAAGAGCTGGTGGTATAAAACCTTGAAAAGTCTATTTATTATTATATAAATTATTCTGTTTATATCCAACACACAAATATCCTCAAATATTCACACACAAGTCATGCTGAAAAAGAACCGCACTCAAACAACAGATGCTCAATTATTCTGACCATCTGAAAGCGCAAAAAAAAAAAATCTTTACAGCCAAATCAGACAATCCAACAAGCCCAGAGAGAAGTGCTCAGTAGCTCAGTTTCCCCCCCCTTCCCTTCTTCCTCTCAACGCTAAGGTACAGCCTGCAGATCGAACCCGCAGATCGAACCCACAGCCCTCTGCTCCCCCGGGCTCCACTCGTGTGTTTTCTTAAAAGAAGGCGGTCCGTTTGAACGAGCCCCGTGTGGATAATGGTGTGAAACCGAGAAGCGCCGATGTCCTGCTGCGACAAGAGCCAGGTGTCGGGAGAGAAAGAGAAGCAGAGGAGAAATCAAGCATCAAATCAATGACATCTTGATTGGAGATGATTAGCCCGCTTATTTGCTCCCCTTCCCTCTCTAGTTAGTTTTTTACCACATTGTGATCCCCCCTCTCCACGGCCCTCCTCGGCACAATCCGTCAAATCACAGGCCTGCGTTGGCTCAGTCATTAAGGTTAGTGGCGTGCCCGCATCCCTCCAGATTTCAAGCCACGATAAAGAAGGTTTAATGATCTTTTGTCTTCGGATTTAATGGCTGTCAAGTCTTTTAATCATCCACTTGTTTTACGGCGACACCGGCAGTCCCTGTGCACCCACCTGAACCCAGGGCGAGTACCAGTTGCGCGCATTCATTGTGATATATTTGTTGTATTCACGGCTACTGTACTTCACCGTTTCACCTGCCGGATTGTTCCACCCAGCGGCTACGACATCTTTGCTGCTGTGAGCTAAAATGTTGTTGCGTTTTAATACTATTGTTATTTTTAGAATGATCTATTTATTTGTTATTTATGTGTTTCTGCAGCTGAATTTCTATCTATCTATCTGATGAAATTAAGAAAACAAAAAGCTCAAAGGTACAGACGTATATGTTGAGATACAGAGAGGCAGAGAACACAGGATGTACTTAATATGCACTGCAAAAAAATCATCAAATATGAGGTAATAAATGCTTTGATCAAGTGGTTTTTGTCTTAATCTGACTTTAAAACAAGATTTGCCAACAGGACAAAGCCATTTAGCCTTTTTTTCAATAACTGTTGCTTTATTTTCTAATTCCAACAAAGATATTTCTTGTATTGTTTTAAAGCAAGCTCATTTTGCTTTCTCCCTTTGGCAAATCTTGTTATAAAAGTATATAGGAGGATTTTCTACTTCCGGGTGGATCATCAACACTATTGGTCCTCCCAGTTGTCAATCATTCTGGTGATACGTGGTCGTCCAATAAGAAGAGTCCAATAAGAGAGATTTGCTCAAAAAGTGGAGAGGGCGGTTCTTTCCTAATATATATTCTAAAAAATTATATGCTTTTTAGGCAGACAAAATGTGCTCACAATACATTTTCCAAATTTGAGCAATTTTCATCACTTTTTGCAGTGCGTTTGTCCAAAAGGCCCATTATCTTTGTATAACAACAGATAACAGACGATTCAGCGATCTTTTGGATGTGTTGTCATTTCACATAAACAGTGCTAACACGGAAAACATTTGAGAGATAGATTTAAACAAATAAATGTGGAGGAGCCCGTCCGTCCGTCTGTTTTCCTCTGCTTTATCCGTTGCCGGGTCGCGGGGGCAGCAGTCTAAGCAGTGACGCCCAGACTTCCCTATCCACACACACTTCCTCCAGCTCGTCCAGGGGGACCCCAAGGCGTTCCCAGGCCAGCTGAGAGACATAGTCCCTCCAGCGTGTCCTAGGTCTTCCCCGGGGCCTCCTCCCAGTGGAGGAGCAGTTTTCAAATTTCCACATCAAGCGTCTGCAAGATTTCTCAAAGGATCAAAGTTTTATACAAAGACGTCCATCAAAGTGCATCAAAGCAAAACGCTGGTCCAGTCACAGAAGATGGTTTGGATGCTGTAAATAATTTGGTTTTGTGATAAAGAAAAGGAGAAGAATCTGTGGAGACGTGAGTTAAAGGCTTCGGTCTCACTATAGTCACCTGGAAGCATCCTGTTTTATTCTCTCATTGAATAAACAGAATGATACATTTGTTCCCTCAAAAAACCCTCCATTAACTGCTCTCCTCCACTGCACCTCCTGGTTCCTCCTGCCTCCTCTCTGCTCCTGGTCCCTCCTGCCTCCTCCTCCTCTCTCCTATTTCCTCCTGTCTCTTCTTTCCTGCTCCTGTTCCCTCCTGCCTCCTCCTCCCGGTTCCTCCTGTTCCTGCCTCCTCCTCCTCTCCTCCTCCTGGTCCCTCCTGCCTCCTCCTCTCTACTTCTCCTGGTCCCTCCTGTCTCTTCTTCCACTCTCCTCCTCCTGGTCCCTCCTGTCTCTTCTTCCACTCTCCTCCTCCTGGTCCCTCCTGCCTCCTTCTCCTCTCTCCTAATCCCCCCTACCTCTTCTTCCTCTCTCCTGTTCCCTCCTGACTCCTCCTCTCTACTGGTTCTGGTCCCTCCTGCCTCCTCCTCCTCTCTCCAGCTCCTAGTCCCTCCTGCCTCCTCTCTCCTGCTCCTGGTCCCTCCTGCCTCCCTCTCCTCTCTCCAGCTCCTGGTGCCTCCTGCCTCCTCTCTCCTGCTCCTGGTCCCTCCTGCCTCCCTCTCCTCTCTCCAGCTCCTGGTCCCTCCTGCCTCCTCCTCCTCTCCTCCTCCTGGTCCCTCCTGCCTCCTCTCTCCTGCTCCTGGTCCCTCCTGCCTCCCTCTCCTCTCTCCTGCTCCTGGTCCCTCCTGCCTCCTCTTCCTCTCCTCCTCCTGGTCCCTCCTGCCTCCTACTCCTCTCCTCCTCCTGGTCCCTCCTGCTCCTTCTCCTTCTCATGGTCCCTCCTGTTTCTTCTTCCTCTCTCCTCCTCCTGTTCCCTCCTGACTCCTCCTCTCTACTGGTTCTGGTCCCTCCTGCCTCCCCCTCCTCTCTCCAGCTCATGGTCCCCCCTGCCTCCTCTTCTCTCCTGCATCCTCCTCCTCCTGCCTCCTCCTGGTCACCATGGGGAGTAGGGCCTTCAGCTCTGAAACCTTCTCCTCCTGACCTCCGTAACACCGTCTCACACTCTTCAAATCCACTTGAAAACTCTCTCTCTCTGTTTAGACCTGAGCCACTCACTCACATCATAACTACACCTCCTCTGCCCATAATGCTTCTGTATTTAGCTGTATTTTAACTCATATTTTAACTGTTTATAAAATGCACTTTTTACTTGCATGTAGGCGCCTTTGAGTGTAAAGAAAATGTTTCATCATTTCCTTTAACATATAGTTCCTTCCAGACACTATATCTCTTCTCCTCAGTGTCTTTGTTGCTCCTGTTTTCCCCGACACTGTCTCCACAAACCAGTGACTCCCCAGTCCACCTCCTGAGGCTGATCCAGGCTTGGCCCAATTTGTGTTTTCCAAACTTAAAGACTGTTTGGTGTCGTATCTAATCTGTTGTGACCAGATTTGGACCAAAGCCTGATAACTTTGCTCCATGACAATTCTAAAGCCTTAAGCTGGAATGATATTTTTGTTTCAATAATGTCCAAAAGAAAGAGTCTTGTTCCAGTTACATCTAGTGAACACATCAGACCACAACATTGGGTCTTTGTCTCATTAAAAAAACGTGAATTATTTGACATATATAACGTTTGGGTGAGTCAAGCCTGGTCCTCTCTTTTTTAGCTGATCCAAAAATGTGACCAAGGCCATAACTGTGAAAACTAGAACCATACATAATTAAATAAGTTGATTATTTATGGTTTCAAAGTTAGATTATTAGATAAAGTCTCACAATGGAAAAATGAACATGTCACATTTGGCTCAGGGTGTGCAAAAAGACAGGAAGTGTGTAAAAAGACTGCTAAAAGGTTAATATATCAGATTCGGGTTCATTGTATTTGCCATTTGCAGTAAAACCCCATTGGAATACGATTGCAAAAGCCTCCAGAGTGCACAAGACAAGTACATAAGATAAAAAGTACAGGAATAAAACACAATTGACACTTGCATGCAAAAACCAAGTCCTGTCAAACCTCTGAAGCTGTGCGAGGCAGAGTCTGGTCAGCTCTGTGATGGGAGACCTACTGTATGGGAACACCAGGTGCTACTGTGGGGCCGCTGCTGCTGTGGAGGGACTGTGTGTCTCTGGCCTGGAAACGCCTTGGGGTTCCCCCGGACGCGCTGGAGGAAGTGTGTGTGGAGAGGAAGTAAATGGATGGATTAATTTGATTTCGAGACCTCCTCAACTCAAATGAAAATGCCAAATAAAGGAAAAAACATTCAGCGTTTAATTAAAAGTGTGTAGATGATGTAGATTGGACTTTCACACTGTGTCTTTGTCTTTATCTTACACCAAGTTTCATCACGATTGAGTAACTCTGCATTGTTCTGCATTCAGACACACACAAGCGCACACACACACAAGCGCACACACACACACACACACTGGCTTCACAATGTCACACACACACACACACATTTTCAACAATAAAAACACAGATTGGTGGTTTTGAGCCTTCAACCTGCTTTTATTTTTGAACGTTTTGGAAAAATATTGTGGCATAATGAAACATAACAATCAATGTGTAAAAAAATAAAAAGCCTTATGCAGAACTCTGTCTCTCAGGGAAGAAAAAAACAGTTTGTGATCTGTCTATCATCTTGGCATGAGGCTGATCCAGGTTTGTCCCATTTTTGTTTTCCAAATCCCCACACCGCTGCCTGCTTCTCGTTCTTCTCTAACATCCGACGTGACGCCAACAGTTATGATAATGACTGGTAATCTTCCAGAATGTTCTTTACGCAAGGTTCTATCCCCTCTGTATTATTTGTCATTCCCTTCTCCCGTCTCTGCAGGTAGTGGTCTCACGGCTGACATCTCCTTGTGCAGCTCATAATTACTGTCACTCGCCAAAGATTACACTCGGGAAAGCTCCGATGATAAGCAATTAGAACGAGATCTTAAACCGGGGGCAATGGGCGGATATTTGTCTAATAATAACTTTATCTTTTTCCCCTTTTTGCTTTTTTCATGTAAAAGTGAAAAATCTTTTCACTTTGACCCTGATTTGCACCCGGGAGAAAAGTTTTGCTCATGAATCAACGTCTATATATATTTTTTTTTTACAAACAAGCTAGCAACAGTTGGAGCCGCACCTAGCATAAACAACTACTGCCTCAAACTGAGCCGAGACGTTTGGGTTCTTGAAATTGGTTGTTTGCCCCAATTGTGTTGACATCTGTTGAGTGAATCCTGGGTTAATACATTTTTTTAATTTAGAAAAAAAAAGTGTTTGTGCATTTCAAGACTTTTAGAAATGAGCTTTTACTTTTCCCCAATATGATGTAAATTGCAGGCTGAATGTGTTGTGACGGCGGGGGTTGTAGAATAGCTAATGATGAGGTCAGGTGGAGGGCACTGGCGTAATTGCTTCGTGGTGTTTTCCCAGTTTCTCTCCAGATTTTCAGCTGTACTTTCTAACAAGTGGTAATTTAAAGTTTCCAACCACCTGTTCACACATTCGGTAGTAACTTATTGGCTAACTAATGTTATAAAACTCTCTGGGTTTACTGTCACAGGACACATTTCTTGTCAAAAAACACATTAGATAGATAGTAATAGCAACGATAGTAATAATCAGCAACAGCCCTTCAGGTCACAGCAGCAGAGGTGGAGTAGCCTCTGGGTGGAGCAGGACGGGTCACAGCAGCAGAGGTGGAGAAGCCTCTGGGTGGAGCAGGACGGGTCACAGCAGCAGAGGTGGAGTAGCCTCTGGGTGGAGCAGGACGGGTCACAGCAGCAGAGGTGGAGTAGCCTCTGGGTGGAGCAGGACGGGTCACAGCAGCAGAGGTGGAGAAGCCTCTGGGTGGAGCAGGACGGGTCACAGCAGCAGAGGTGGAGTAGCCTCTGGGTGGAGCAGGACAGGTCACAGCAGCAGAGGTGGAGTAGCCTCTGGGTGGAGCAGGATGGGTCACAGCAGCAGAGGTGGAGTAGCCGCTGGGTGGAGCAGGACAGGTCAGAGCAGCAGAGGTGGAGTAGCCTCTGGGTGGAGCAGGACGGGTCAAAAGGTGGAGTAGCCGCTTGGTTCGGACCATTTTCTCTGGTCTAGTCCAAAGTAAAATGCTAGATGCTTCTTTAGCATTAATTCATTTAGCATTTACATTAGCACTGTGAAGGGAGACCTCCAGGAACACAAAGGTGCCACAGTGGGGCGGCTGCGGCTGTAAACGCCTAACTGTGGTTGTGTCCTTAGGCAAGACACTTCACCCACATTGCCTAGAATGAGTTTGGTGTGTGTGTGAATGTTTGGAGGTGGTGACGGTGGTAGGGGCTGAGGGCATGTACTGGGTGCCTCACTTCTGTCAGTGTGCCCCAGGGCAGCTGTGGCTACAGTAGTATTTTCTCACGTGTTTGGAGTGGCGAGCAGGACACGTGTTCTGAGAAAAACCAGTTCAGTGAAACCGCTTTGAACTTGCTCTACAAAACCAGCCAGAGAAAGACTATGGGCTTTTAAAATCAAACTTAACATTGAACTTTGTGTCTGAGGTGGCACCACGTAATCAATTCTGTTCTTTATCAATCCAAACGCACTCAAAGCATCTAAGTACATCAAGCATGAAACACCCAAATATAACAAATGTGGAAAAACAATTTGTTTTATACTCATATGGTCTGGACCAGTCTGGATCTCCTGTTTTGAGTACAGAGTGGAGCTGGTGGAAGAAGTACTTTTTTTGTTCTTGTCAAATCAAGTTGCTCAGAAAAATGTAAGTCAATTACAAAAATCAAAACCAACCCTGGACTGATCATCTAATCACTCATGAGTAATACTGAGAGCAGAAATCCGAAGTCAAAGCAGAAATATCAGAGTTCAGGAAAAAATTCTTAGCCTAATAAAATAAATATTAACCAAATCCAATATTGACTTTGTTTTCAACATTGGCGTAACTGTCTCTGCTATTCCTAAACGTTCAGACTCGATAATACCTCTATAAGACCCCAAAGCAATTCATTAACAAAATCTTCTTATAAATTACATGCAGTTGCTCCCCTCTGAAGCTAGCCCCCTGTGGCCACACCGGGTTCTGCAGCTCTGTTTTCCATCACTAATTGGCCTCACTTTCCATTTTCTTTTCATTCTGTACATTTTTCTTTTCGCACACCTAATTATTTGTTTGGCTGCCCTATCTGTCTCTGCGGGGCTTTTCATAAAATGCTGATGAGAAGAAGAGGAGATAAGTTTTGTCACGTCAGGCTGGTTAGAATTTTCACGGCTGTTGTTTCAAAGTAAAAATATTGGCGTTGACACCTTGCAGGCTGCTCCGCCCCTCCCCCTGCTCTGTTTTGTGTTGAGGTTGACCTTGTTGCTGCGCAGCCTGAGGGGTGAGAGTGGAGGAGTGATTGGGGTTGTCGGTCAGATTCCCTCCCGTTAACGAGCTGTCATGTGCACGCTGGAGTTCCCACACAGACACAGACACACACACACCCACACACACACATACACACAGGCTGTTGACCCCACTGTTTCGCCGTAATGTGTTGATTCCTGTAATTTAAGACGAGGTTTCAAACGGCTTCTCAATCAAAGTGCTGGGATCCACTGATTTTTTGTTGTTGTAAAATGATAGTCCATTCACAGACAACTACACTGTGACAAAAGGACAAATAGCAACAAATTCATTCCACAATGTTGTTCTACCAAATCAAGTTAACAGCTGAAACATGTACTTGATAATAATTTGTATAAAGAAGATGTTGCAGACAAAAGAACAACAAACATGCAGCAATTTCATATTCATAGATGAAGGTTAGTATAAAAAATAAATAATATCTTATAGAACACTAAA